ATATATGAAGTGTATAGGTAGTTTAAAGCAAAGAAAGCTTCCATCATAAAAAAGAATCGTGTTTCCTTGAAAATCTACTGTACTGATGAAAAAAAGTTCAGCTAACAAACGTGTCATCATGCTATCAAAATTTGAGCACCTGGCAATTAACATGTACAGGTAGTCCTCGACTTAGAATAGTCCACTTAGTGACCATTCAAAGTTACAACAGCAGTGGAAAAAGTAAGTTACGACTGTTTTTCACACTTACGACCATTGCAACACTCCCATGGTCATGTGATCAAAATTCAAATGGTTGGCAACTGACTCATCATATTTATGACTGTTGCCGTGTGCCGGGGATCATGTGATCAGCTTTTGCGACCTTCAGACAAGCAAAAGCCAGATTCACTTAACAACTGACTTACGGATTTAAGAACTGCAAGTGATTTACTTAACAACCGCGGCAAGAAAGGTCATTAAAAAGAAAGCGGCAAAATTCACTTAACGAATTTCTCCACTTAGCAGCAGAAATGTTGGGCTCATTGTGAGGACTGTCCGTATTTACGACGGTTGTAGCATCCCAGAGTTACGTGATCACTATTTGAAATTTTCCTAACCAGTTTCTGATAAGCAGTCAATTGGGAAAGCTGGATTTACTTAATGACCGCTTGACTTATTGAATAAATGCAGTGATTTGCTTAGCAACTGTGGCAAAAAGGTTGTAAAATCAGGTGCGACACACTTAATTACTTTGCTTAACGATGAAAAAATTCTGGTCCCAATTGTGGTTGTAAGTTGAAGACTTCCTGTCCACCCTTCTTCACAATCCTGTCTAAAGTGTGTAATCTTTTTCCTAGTTATTCTGTCCTTTCTTGCTCTTTATGTGTCAATTGTACGCTAGTAATTGTTTACAGAATCCTACAGAGAAAGCAATTATTCAAGCTCTTTTGATATGACTTAAGAGACCGACTCATGCAATCACAATCACATCTGAAAGCCAACCTCGGAACAATCATTACAGAGCAGCTAACACACTGCATGGAATTATACAGGGCGGGGCATAACCTTTTCCTAGGGGGTCACAGCAACACTTNAACACTGAAAAGATAAAGAAGAGTCGGAATAGTATGAAACTTGGAACAATTGGTACAAATGGCTGCAGAACAGGAATAAAATTAATTAAGCCAAAAACAATATATATAAATATATATAGGACTGTGTATAAAGTGTGTAAATATAGAAGCAAAATATTATATACATGTACAGGTATGATGACATAACAATGTTGATGTAATGACTGTAAGGTGTTGTAGAAGGGAAAAAATAATAAAAAAATCTGCTATAAAAAAGAATTCTGAAATTCTACTGCTCTGTGGCCAAAATGATGCAGTGATCAATCTAGGAAGGAAAAAGTCCACCTAGAACAGTCTTTGGCCCACCAGATGCATGGATTTCAAGACGCAGAATTCCCAAGCAGTATAGCTGAAATCCATGCATCTGGAGAGTGCCCAGGTTGATGAGGTGGAAAGTCTGAAGGAAGCTCACAAAAAAGGTTGTGTATAGTTCAGTGGTTTACTACAGGAAAGCACACAGAGATCTCCAAAGTGTTGAACAGGAAGAACCTAACATTGTCTTAGTTTGAATAAAAGTAAACGCAAATCACATATTTTTCATCCTAGTCAGTACAGTAGTCCCAAAGGTGTCTTTTAAGAGGCAGCTGGACTTTCTTGTTTTTCTTTGAAGAAGTTTTGCTTCTCATCCAACAAGCTTCTTCAGCGCTGACTGGATGGTAGGGAATGGAAGGATTTAGATTCCTTGCAGACAGCTGGTCATTTACATTCTTTTTAGAGAGTCATGAGGCCACTTGGCCTTTTATAACCAAGTGGGGTGTCTGGCCAGGCTGATACGGTGTTTCCTTGAAAATAAGCCCTAACGAGTCTTTTGGAGCAAAAAAATATATATTATTTTCGGGGAAACATTCAGGGATCTTTAAACAAAAAAGAGGTGCATTTACTTCAATATGAAAAACAGTCATATTGGGAATACCTTATAGTCTCTATCCATTCTTTTAGCCCTGACTTCATATCTAGATATGAAATGGGATATAGATCCAAATTTGGGTCAAATAAGACAATGTTAGACGTGATTGGCTATTTTCCATGTCAATATCCAGTTGATTTTGAAGTTGTCTTTGAAGTGAAGAAAAGTAAAATTCTTGTTCTGTCCCATTTTCTTAATAAGGCAAGTTCTGTGTTTAAGGAAATGCACATTTCTATCTATCATAGAAAAATAGTGCATATTTTTTATTAGATGTTACTCAGATAAAATTGGTAACTTCTGCCTGGTCATTCTACTGTATTATTCAAAATGGTCCTAGTCTGTCTCTAAGTTCATCCCTGATGTTGTGTGATTAAAAGCTTTCCCATCTCTTGCTGGGCTTTGGGGCTGAATCAGCTTAGCAAGGGATTTATCAGAAGAAAAAAGACTATTTTAGAAATTTCAATGTTCAAAGATAGTTGTTTTGCAGTGGTTACTATTCTGCTAACAACTTGGTTTGAAGATGCCTGTAGTGTAATTTGGGTGCCATGCCAACTCTTTCTTTGTGCATCCTTTATTTCACAATAATACTGAGACAGCCATGATTTCCTACTTCCCAAAACACAGGTTGCACAAAACATATATTTTTGAAGACTGTTTTTGCAAAAGATAGTTTTGACCAGGAGAGGGCATTTGTCAGCCAATGGAAATATTCTTCTGGCAATGGTGAATCTTGCAGTTATTTCACTGCATTGCATCTTAAGAGAGTGGTTACATCAGCAGGTTTTGCCATGAATAAAAATATCCTACCCTGCCTGTCAGAGCTGAAGTAGCTTCTTGGATGAGAAATGAAATATCTTCAAAAGAAAAAAACAAGAAAGTCCAGTTACTTCCTGAAAAAACACCTTTGGGACAACCATGAACTGGATGACTTAGAATCTCTACAGACTATTAAACTATCTTCCTGTCCACCGAAGTAGAGAATTGACTTGTCAGCGTTTAAAGCATCTTTTTTCTGAAGCCAAGCAAGCATCTTGTGGAAGAGTTCACAAGCAGAGGCTTATTTCTTTTAGGTTACGCAGTACACAAAGTAGATAATAATCAAGGGTCTGTTTATAAAAAGATTTAGAGCAAGGGTCCTAGAACTACGGCCCGCAGACCACACATGGCCCCTCAAAGCCATTAATCCAGGCCATGCAGGACCATGAGGCTGCTCTACCCACATCACCCCGCCCACCGAGAGAGAGAGAGGGAGGGAGGGAGGGAGGAACAGGAATTACATAAAACCTTTGCTTTTCATTGCTATTTATGTGGTGGCTGTTCTTGAGTTTTGCAGCCATATTTTGTGACGATTTTAATCCAGCCAGATTATGACAGCCATGTTTTACATTATGCTATTTGCATATACCACGTCCTTTATTGGGCATTTTGTCATTCACTATTGTGAGAAATCTCTGGGCATTTCAGAGAATATTAGGACAGATTTTGGTATGTCCATGTAACTCATGCATAACAGTGGCTGAGAGTAGAGGATCTTAGTTATGCCTCACCAGAATACTGTAATCTGCAAGATTTGTTGTGGTGGCACACAATTTTGCGACGATTTTTGAGGTGCATTAGCAGTCTATATAGTGTGCAAGCCAGCCTGCTGGCAAAGATTCAGAAGAGCATTTTTGGTTCTCCACATTTGGTATTTGATGATAGGTATTTGCTGAAGTGCAGATCTTAGTATTTTCTGGAAGCACTTGATGCTCACTCAAACCTGAGCACCTGGTAAAACTATTCCACCTATTCTCAGAATTATCAGAAAGGGAGGAGAGAGAGAGATATTTAGGAGTAATAGTATTGCTTCTTACTGAATTTCAGTTAAACTTCCCTACTCTGATGTTTTGTAGATATGGTCAGGGGAATTGGAAATGATGATAAATTGGCCTTATTGATGTTCCTAGATAATTGGGATACTGGAATTATAGTGGAATACTGAGTAATTTTTAATATATTAAACTATTAGTGATTCAACAGAGGACAACAAATACATTGCATGAAGAAATGTTATTGATGTTTAAATGTATTTATGAAGAAATGACAAAGAACCATAAGGAGATAATGGTATTGTTTAAAGACAAGGATGTGAATGTAGAAGAACCCCAACAAATTGGGGAGGGGGGAGATAAGTACAAATTGGGAAATAGTATTACATACCCTGATATATAATAGAATTATAATTACAATGTGCATGTTAAGGTTAGAAGTTGGAAGACTATGATTATGTATATTTAATTGTATTATTATTGTTAGCATTGTGTAAAAAGTATATTGACCCAAACACTGACCACAAAATATGTATGGCTGTTAAGGGAAAATTACAAATAAAACTGTGTGTGTTGCGCGCATATATACATACATATATACATACATACATACATACATACACACACACACACACACACACAATGCTAACAATAATAATACAATTAAATATACATACAGCTCTGCTTCAGAGAGAGAAAGATGGAGAAAGAAAAATATAATGAAGAAAGTGTTTAACATTAGCCTGTGCCTGTCATAAAGAGAAAATCTGTTTAATACAAGCCTTGGGAGATACACTTCGGCTTCGGCTGCTGCCCTCAAGAAGGTTAATCAAACAACGGGGTAGGTCACCGATACCCTGAGGTCACAGGTAGACATGCCAAGACTGCAAAATGAGTTTATTCAGCTGATGGTGAGGAGGCAGCTATGGCCACACCCCAGCAGATGAAGTTTCAGCTTCCAGTGATTTGTTTGCTTTGGACGTAGTGGATGGAAGCACAGGCTGAGAGGAGACGTGTGTAGCCAATGGGCATGGCTGACTCATTTCTGTCAGGATTGTTTTCATGGCTTCATTTGTTTTGTTTTTCGTGCCACCCCACATTTTTGCTTTCATGAGGGTGGCAGAATGCAACCTATGCAGGCGGTAGAAAGATTAAAGCGATTGTGAGCTGAGATCAAGTCAGTGAAAGGTAAGCATCCTTGCCAGGTACTGTTTTTGTTATGATGCTGGAGATATATAGTCCCATCAACCTAATCTTGGCTGATACAACCGGTGACCTCTCAGATTAGACCAGCGATTGTATATGGCAGCTCTCCAGGAAAATAAGAAGTTTGGGGGGCGGGGTTCCACTGGCTTACCCTGAGATACCAAAGAATAAAACAGGTTGTTACATACTTAACAAGTTACACTAATGTGGCTGATTGGTAGGGTGTGTTCATTGACTGGTAACACTGCATGAAAAAACTTTACCCATTAGTAGCCAATAAAGGTGCAATTAGAGGTATATAAAGTGCCCTGCATGGACAGACCAACATGTCTATGCACAAATTCACATAAAAATATGTATGTAGAAATCACTTGCCTGCTATTATTAGCAGTGGTGGGTTCTGGATCCCGTTCCAAACGGTATGGTTGGAACGGGCCAAGCAGCGTCCACATGGACGCGCGCAGCGCCCGCATGCATCTAAGTACCTCTGTGAGCCTCTGCGACGTTCCAGCTGCTCCACGGAGCATTGCACAGGTGCTGTACATGCCGTGCATGGAAGTGCAGAAGCCTTAAAAGACAGGTAAGGAGCTCGGGAGGGCGGGTGGGCCCTCCGGAGCACCATACCGGGGCATCCTGCCTGCAACCCACCACTGATTATTAGTAACCCTGGCTTGATTGGCAATTTACTGTAATTAACAACTGTTCTCCATGTGACAAGCATTTCTCCATGTCGCTGTCAGACGTTAGAGGGGAGCAGAATAGGCTTTATCTCTTTTCCTGTTCTTCCAATTATTATGCTTTGTGATGTGCTAAACATCTGTTGCAGAGGTGGTATTCAGCCAGTTCGGACTGGTTCATCCGAATTGGTAGCAGAAATTGCGGGTGTGCCCATCCGGCCCACCCATCCCACCCCAGCTCTATGCCGTCCTATTTAGGCACGTTTTTGAGGCCGGGTGCACGCGTGGAGGGCTGGGCGCATGCACAGAGTAGGTAAGCATGCACGTGGGGGCAGTGAACAAAACAGGGATAACAAAACGTGAAAATCATGGCTGATCAGTTTCATAAAATAAACAATCACGTGGAGTCAAGCTCAACTTAAGGGTACCTTTTCCTTTTTTTGGTATTTCATAGTTAAAAGTACTGGTAATAGGTGAAACCTTATATAGAAAACATAATATGCAATAGTACAGCAATGCATCCTTACAGGCTTTGAAGTGTAGACACCTACGAAAAATATGTGCTGAATTAATTAAGAGAACCATGTCAGCATATCCTGGAGCCGACAACCTACAGTATGTCTTTAAAGGGAGATAATAATCTCTTCCTCTTTAAATACCAGGAAATCTGATTGCTGAGTTAGTTCTCTCTCTTTTTTTAAAATCTGTAAATAAATCACCTAAGACATCAGTTACAGTGCATAAAAAAGGATTTAAAAGGATGTTAGAATTTAGCCTGAAGCTCTGCTTTGTAGAGTACTTGACCTTTCCAAGTCCTGGTATGCTTTGATATTTAAATAAATAATAAATAATAGCAAGATATTATGGTATGTATTCTTAGCGTACAGTATTGTCTGCCCCACCCCCCACCCCCGGCCTCTCTGCCCGCAGGATCTGGCAGCAACCTTACATTCTTTGCAGCTTCCTGGTTTGTTTTTGTAGCATTATATGTCCTTGCATTCACACAAGGCAGTAATCTGTCATATGATTTGTTTGATTTTGATATTATACAGTGTTGAGCAATTCAGTTGTTTCTAATATAGCTGCCTGGGGTTAAATGGTACTGCTTGCATAAAAGAGATCTTCACAATAAAACTGTCAAAAATCTAAGCACAGATTAATATTTCATCAATGACTTTTCAGTTCTAAAAGGTTCTGGGTTTCTTAGGGAGATCTTCCTCATGAATCTTTCCCAGAGCTTCCTCTGTCAAGATCTTATATAAAGTGACCTTCCTATTGATTAACGATTGGGAAACTAGTCCAGCTCAACCAATGACATATTTAGGAGATTCCAAGCAGTCAAGCTAACCTTAGGCCAGGGGTGTCAAACTCAAGCCCCTTGGGATGGATGCAGCCAGTGGGCTGTTTAGATCTGGCTTGCAGGACCTCCCTGGAAACAGTAAAGGACCACCTGCAGTGCCACAGCCAACGAAAATGGAGCTCGGGAGGGCCCACCTGACCTCCGTTTTCGCTGGCAGAGGGTTACAGGAGGATGTTGCAGCCAAAAACGGAGCTCAGGAGCCCGTCTTCACCAGCAGAATGCTCTGGCGACCACAGGTGCCCCCAACACAAGTAATGTTGAGCTGGCCATGCCCACCCTAGCCCCCCAAGGTCAGACACAACCCTGATGCAGCCCTCAATGAAATTGAGTTTGATACCCCTGCCTTAGGTTGTCTCAACTTTGTCTGAACTTCCACAGCATAGTTGGAAGATAACTTTAACTATAGGTCAAGAGCAGGGATCTCCAAGCTTGGCGACTTTAAGGCTGATGGGCTTCAGCTCTCAGAATTCCTCAGCCAAGTCTGGAGACCTCTGGCAAGAATATGGAAATTTCAAGCGTCTGAAGACTTCATGCTTGTATTCTCTTTCTGCCTTGCAGATGTCATGGAATCCTCAGTATCGGAGTTCTAAATTTCGCCACGTTTATGGCAAGGCCGCCAGTAAAGAGAACTGCTATGACAACGTGCCCATCACCCACAGTGTCTATGACAACCAGTTTTGTGCTGTCAATCCCCGTTTTATTGCCGTGGTGACCGAATGTGCAGGTGGAGGCGCCTTTCTTGTTATACCAATCAGTCAAGTAGGTATTTCCAAGCCTGTCCTATATAACTGGCTTATTGATGTGTGTGTGAGTGGGGCAGATAAAGGCATGGGAGACCAAATGTTGATAAAGCCCAAATCAGTAACTCGTTTTCAGTAAGGGCTTTGTTTTTGCCCTGAATGGTCACTTAAAAAATTAGCAATACTGTCTGCAATAACTGCATAAGTTGATACACAAGCAGTGGGTTCATTTACAGTCCTTGACTTACAACCATTGTTTAATGACCACTTGAAAGTACAACGGCATTGAAAAAAAGAGACTGATGACTGTTTTTCACTTGGCTGTTGCAGCATCACCATGGACACAAGGATCAGAATTTAGATACTTGGAAACTGGCTTACATTTATGATGGTTTCAGTGTCCCGGGTCATGTGGTGATCCCCTTTTGCAACCTTCAGCAAAGCAAAGTCAATGGGGAAGCCAGATTCACTTTACAACCATGTTATTAATTTAACAACTGCAGTGATTACTTAACTGTGGCATAAAAGGTCGCCAAAGAGGGCAAAACTCACTTTACTATCTTGCATAGCAATAGGAATTTTGGCCTCATTTGTGGTCATAAATCGTGGATTACCTCTGTCCCTTTCCTTCCACAACACAGGCTCCTCATGCTTTGAATTGTTCCGTTGTCTGCACCTCTTAAACCCAACAGAACTTCAGATTCTGTCTGGCTTTGTTCTGAACTAGGCTTCCCAAAAGCAGGAAGCCAACTCCACATCCCACTAAAACCCCTTTTATTTAGTTTAAAGTGAATTCCTCTCCAGCAAAGTCCCGGCCAACAGTCTTTCAGATTTCACAACTACAGACCTTTATCAGGCTTGGAGAGTTGCCAGGCCGATATCTTCCAAACACCAGTCTGTAGCAGACAATAGTCAGGAACAGATCTTCACCCTAATGAATTGAACTAATTGTCTCCTGCAAACTTCCCTCCTCTTTTGCTCCTCTTTATTTCTTATGGGAGGGGCCATTCACCGTCTACCTGTGACTTTACTCCCGAGTCGACCATTGTTCCTTAGCTGTTCCCTTCTCCTGGCAGCTCTGCACATGTGCACTCTGGGAACAGGTTTCAGCTGTTCTTCTGCCCCACTGATGTCCGATTCCCAAGGCAGCTGATACCTGTCAGAAGGCCCTGACCCCACCTATTCCTCTGATGCAGAGCACTCGCCAAGGACTTCCCCAGACTTCCGAACTGGCCCATGTTCCTCCCCAAACTCCTCACTGTCTGACTCTGCTGCCAGCTCTGCTGGCTGCTGGCAGGCCAAAACGCTTTGATAAGTGGTATTCCAGGAGCCCTAGTGATATTTCAGCCTGGATGTAAAACCTACAAAATCTGGGAAAATCTACGACGGGGGTGGATAAAATCGTGTTCCTATTATGGGTTGCTTGTGATGTCAATGTTATTTTATTAACCACCTGGATTTCACGAAGTGCTGTAGTAGCTTAGTGTAATTTTGTTATAACAAATGCAAATTGTTCTCCATTTACCTGAGCTCATGGAGGCCAAAGAAGAGTAGGGGCAGGACTCCATGGTCCCATACATACATGTCCAGTTTGAAGGAAAGGATAGTTGTGCACAAGGGCAACGCACCTCAAGAGTGAGAAATCTTTCTGGGCCCATTCTCCTGTTCCTTTAATGTTGGCATGACCAACTGTTAATCCCTGATACTATTTTTAATTCACATCTGTTCATGACTCTGTTGTCACATGCTCAGCATACGAGGCAGCGTAAAGTTGTCTTTAGCAGTTCCAGAATTCATGTACATGTAGTCTTCGACTCCATTTCATTTAGTGACCGTTCAAAGTTACAACAGCACTATGATAGTTTTCACACTTACAACCATTGCATCCCCATGGTCACATGATCAGAATCCAGATGCTTGTCAACTGTCTTACATTTATGATGGTTGCAGTGTCCCCCCCCCCGGGGTCATGTGATTACCTTTTGAAATCTGATCAGCAAAGTCAAGGGGGAAGCCAGAGTCACTTAAAAACCGTATTACTAACTTAACCACTGCAGTGATTCACTTAACAACTCTGGCAAGACAAGTCGCAACATGGGGCAAGACTCAGTTAACAAATGTCTCATTTAGCAACAGAAACGTTGGGCTCAATTGTGGTTGTAAGTCCAGGATTACCTGTGTTATTATTTTTTCTCATTTCAAGTTTAGGTTCCTCGGGTAAATAAGAGAAAGGCAACAGCATTAAGATGTAGCAGAACAAAACTGTCCCTGGGGCATGTTTGTTCAGCATTTAGGGAAACTTCACTTCACAGTTTATTCTTACGAGGAAAATAGGAGGAGGAAAGAGTTTTACCGATGTTCGCTGCCTTGAATTACTTATAAAGTGATAAAGGTGGGATAAAAATGGAATATAAATAAATAAATGTGAAATAACCTGTACATGCTGTGCATAAATAACTCATAAAGTTTGCATATAGCCCTAGCCTTCAGTGCCAAGGTTATGATAGACTTAATAGAAATGTACTTTGCTAGATGGCAGCCTTGCATTGTTTAATTTATTTGTTTTACAGTGTGCTAATATTTCTCTCCCAGCCTCCTCTTGGGGAATGACTTCTTTAATAACCATTAACTATAAGGAAGCTAGCAGTAAGACATACAGAGGCTGCTTTCTGCTCCAGCCACTCATGTCCCTTCCTCTAATCTACCCTGTTACATCTGTATGACTCCATATTGGCCTGGCTCTGCCACAGTTTGATAACAGTCTTGCTCTGTGCTGCCTATGTGTTACGTTTATACTGAAGCTGTTATTTTTTTTCTTATTTCCTTACTTTATTTACGCCCTACTTTTCTGCTTTGGCAAGTATTTAAGGTGGTGAACAAAATATGAAAACAAAACTTAGAAAGTTTTAAATGGAAAATAAAATTATAGATATCAGATTTTTTTAAATTAGCTATACTAAACATTTTATAACACTAAAATTACCTGATTAAAAAACTGGGAACTCACGAGCACCTTTGCAGATGTTCTCTGCAACAGTGGGGTCCAGATGCATATTCAAAAGAGTATATTTCATGACTTGGGTATAAGACATGAGAAGACTCTCTTTCACGTGCTATAAATAGAAGCTTCTCTTTGTAACGGGAGTCCTTGACCCTTGGACCTAGATCTGGAGATGGAACAGCCATGTATCTCCTTATTTAATGTTGTTGTACCTTTGAATAGTTGTTCAATGAATGGTTGTTAACCGAGAACTATCCGTACAAGCTCGTGCATGATAGGTAATGTTAAGATGCATTATGTATTAGAGAATAAAGCATTTGGTATTTTAAAAAGGAGAGATGAATTAAAAATCAGCCTGCTTTTGATCCAAGCAATTGAGACCACAAACATGCATGCTAGAGAAAGTTCTTCAGGATGTCATAAGATATCAAATTGTATATGTGTGAATCCTAGCAGTGCGGCCTTTTATAATTGATAGATGGAAATTTTAATAATAATAACAACAAAAACAACCTCCATGATAACAAAATACAAAGACTACAAATAAAAATAGAACGATTATAGCAAAGGCCAGTTCGCCTGAACCAGTAGTTCAAAAATGCTACCGGTTCGCTCAAACTGGTAGTAAAAAAAACTCTACCAGTTTGGCCAAACCGGTAGTTCCGACAATCAGCTGTGCGACAATCAGCTGTGCCGCATGATTTATATTCGCTAGAAATCAGGAAATCCTGCTTTCTAGCGAATCTAAATCATGTGGGACAGCTGTTTCCCCCCCCCCGCTGTTCTACTTAGCTTTCCAGACTCAGAAAAGCCTTCTTAATCCTCCTTTTTCAGCACTGCGCAGTAGCGCCTGCGGTGCGCATGCATGCGAAGCAAACCAGTAGCAGACTTCAGAGCGTTTTACCCCTGGTGCAATCCCAAAACAATTGGAGCACCGCTTGAACACCATCGGCATTGACAAATTCGCCATCAGTCAATTACAGAAGGCAGCTTTACTTGGAATAGCTTACATCCTGCGGTGATATATGTAACACCATCAAACATCCAAATCTGCCTATCCCAGGTCCTTCGTAAGGATTCAATAGGTAGACAAAAATGCCAAGCCCAGTCTGAACATCTGGCTGGCTGCATGATGATCATCAATAATAAATATGATAAATAAGCCTTTTTAGAGAATTTTTCATTGTAGAATTAAACTTTTCCATTTGTTTTCAGACAGGAAAACTTGACCCGCATTATCCTCGCATCTGTGGGCATAAAGGACATGTATTAGATATCAAATGGAACCCCTTTGATGACTTTGTAATAGCATCCTGTTCGGAAGATAACACAGTAAGTCAGAGTTACGAACCTTTGCCTGAGTCAGGCAGAATACCGCCCAATTTCTTCACAAACAAAATCAGGAGCACAATCTCTCAAGTGTCCTTTTCTGGTTTGTTATTACAATTAGTTAAGTCTTTACAGTTGAATAGCACAGTCTACTTCATGCCCATGGATTTTTAACCACCGTTGTAAATGGTGGAACTAGCCAGATCAAATAAAATCTGATGTCACTAGGACAAATGATCACTTAGCAGCATTTCATGGACTCCATAAAGGTTTGTGTAGGATGTCCAGTGAGTATTGTGACATTGCAATGCAAGCTCTGCCCCTACACGTGGATATGTGATGTCATGATGCATGTTCAAAAGGGACCGAACATACATTGCAATTCATCATTTGCCTCCCCCCCACTCCACAGATGCCCCATTATCCCTTTTAAGAGCCGAGGTGGCACAGTGGTTAAATGCAGCACTGCAGGCTACTTCAGCTGACTGCAGTTCTGCAGTTTGGCTGTTCAAATCTCACCGGCTCAGGGTTGATTCAGCCTTCCATCCTTCCGAGGTGGGTAAAATGAGGACCTGGATTGTTGTTGGGGCAATATGCTGACTCTGTAAACCGCTTAGAGAGGGCTAAAAGCCCTATGAAGCGATATATAAGTCTAACTGCTATTGCTATTAACTGTGAAAATGAAACTGCAGAATCCATGTGCCAGATTCTGACATCTTAATGCTATAGAATAGAATAGAATAGAATAGAATAGAATAGAATAGAATAGAATAATAAAGTCCAGATGATTAGCAGGCTGAACAATGTCCCACCTGCATTTTTCTAACATCATTTTTCGAAGACCTTACAAAAGATCGCTGTAAAGTCCCCAAATAACGTTCTAGTTTTGAATTAGAAGTTTGGAAATCAAATTCATAGGTGCCCTTGAGCAAGATTTGTGTACTCTATCTCTTTTGGTTGTTGAATAGCTAAAATGCCATGCTTTGGAGAAAAAGTGCCAAGTAAATTGTAACAAAAAAAGAAGTGCAAGTGAAGAGAACATTTGCTTTGGAATGAAAACATTTTTGATATGTAGTCTCTCTTCCATCCACCCAGAAATGCAGGGGCTAAGAATAAGCAAATGCCTTTTTTCATTTTGATGGATGCCAAGGCCACCTTCTGCTGTGCAGGGGAACCTTTCTCCTTTTATTATTGGTAATCCTGTGTGTAGTACTGGAACATGATATAACAGTCAAAGGACCTGGACAGGGTGAAGATGGGGAGGCACAAGGGAGTCTCTTGTTCCCTTCCCTTCCTTGATAATCATCTCTCCATTTCTGTAAGCTCAGCAGTTGATTAATATTGGTCTTTCAGGCCACACTGGTCTACAAGGAGAAAGCCTTAGAAATCAAAGTAGCTTAATTTTACCAAAACTGAGCCACTAATAAAGGGGAATTAAGTCCTGATTATTCATTGGCTCCAGTTTCCAAGATACAGCTTCAAGTCAAAATTGCATCAAAATAATTCAAAATTATGAGGGGGATATGCGATTTGCTCCATAACTTTTCTGCAAAATGTGATATAGCAATGAGAATGGTGGCACACCAATCATTATAAATTATTATTGATACCAATAACTTTCCATTCATTTATTGTTTTTGTGTGTAACATTTTAGTGCTTTTGGCCTGAAAAACTGACAATCTCTAACATCAGATTAAACGACAAGGTTCCATCTTTATTCAGTATCTAAACTGCACTTTTTAGCTTTTCTCTTGTGAACTGCAGTAGGATCATCCCTGGTGCAATTCCAGCAGTAATCAGCAAGCATGGATGGACTTCATTTCCTTGATATCTTTTCTCCATGCCTGCAATATCCTGGTGGAATCTCTCTCTATGCTCATCATTCACTGCCCCACAGTTCAAAGGGGAATAGTCTAAATGCGAGTATAAGAAGTGAATTTTCAGTGACATGTTTGCACCAAGTGTTTTATAGAATCTAAGCAAATTTTCCATGCATTTTTCATAGACCTCTGCCCTGCTGTTCTCAAAGTGAGAATAAATTTATACACTTCCAAGTGGTACCATTTTCATTGTTCTGTCGTACTTTGTTGAGAAGTCACGAGGCACCATGATCATTAGACACCACCCTCCCTTGTAGGCAAATATACTCGCCGGTGTATGTCTTTATTGTGAAATATCTTGAAAACTGACCAGTACCTTTATCATCTGTTTTCTAATTCATATAATCAAAATATGTAAAATTAATACATTTTATCTCGGAGATTGATAATTTACTAAAATTTGTAGACCAGCGCTATTGCTCTTGAACGCTGCTGTGTTGAATGAGATAACCTGGGTTAATGGAGCCTTCTTGGATTGTGCTGCGTCTTCTGTTTTGTAGGTTAAGGTCTGGAATATCCCTCAGCATTTGCTAACCAAAAGCATCACAGATCCCCATAAGGACCTTCTTGGCCATTCCAGAAGAGTGGGGCTTATTGAATGGCACCCAACTGCAAGTAACATCCTCTTCAGCACTGGTTATGATTACAAAGTGAGTTGAGATCGTAGGAACATTCATTTCAACCCTGAAATACTGCTAGGCTTCTGCATGAGAGTCTTGTGAAGGAAACCTGGGTGATAGAGGAGAAGGAGTATATATGCCACAGTGGAAGAATTCCATTCCAGTTACCCTGTTTCCCTGAAAATAAGACCTCCTCAGATAATAAGCCCAATCGGGGTTTGAGCGCATGCACTAAAATAAGCCCCCCACCCAAAATAAGTCCTCCCCGAAAATATTGTAGCACAGCAGCAGCCATGAGGTGACCACGCTCGCTGCCTCCTACACCTCAAAAATAATAAGACCTCCCTGAAAAGAAGGCCAAGCACTTATTTCGGGAGTCAAAATAAAATAAGACCCTGTCTTCTTTTTGGGGAAACATGGTATTTATTTCAATATTCGGTGCTGATAAAGTGTAAATTGGCCATGCAAAATGAATCCAGTCACTTTACATCTTGAATACAAAGTGTTTTTAGAGTCAGGCAGCACCAAAATAGAATTAAATAAATAATAAATAGTTTACCTTACAAATCTATGAACTAAATCTATAAACTAAGTAAGAGAAAAAGGCATTCTTTTGGTCATTTCTTTCCTTTGAAATCACAGCATTTGTGATATAGAAATTGACAGTCTATATACTGATCTATGAGCATTATAAAGTTTTGATTTGATTTGGATGTTGTGCAAATTGCACTCCCCACAGAATTAAACTTTTGCTCCCAATTATTTTAATAACTCCCTTTCTCATCCTTCTCCACTCAGCCATGGTGTCAGATTTAGGCCTGCATTGAATGAGATAGTATTTGTTGGTGCATCACATTTGGGGTACAGTTGCTGTATAGTTCTTTTATAGTCCGCTTGCTCAGGGGGTGGAAAATTTAGAAAACATTCTCTGATACCTGCATTTTTGTCACAGGTCATGATCTGGAACCTTGATACCAAAGAACATACAATTCAGACGCCAGTAAGGACAATCGACTTCCATACAGATGTCATCCTTTCCATGTCATTCAACACGGATGGAAGCCTCTTAGCCACGGTCTGCAGGGACAGGAAAATAAGGATCATTGACCCGCGAGCAGGAACCATCTGTCAGGTATGTTGGTTGGGGAGAATGATTGGCATGAACAGTAAGGCTGGTTCTAACTACGAAAGAGGCTGTTGTTTGTGAGTGGGATCTACCGGATGGTTTTAGCCAGAAGGTGAATTGCTTCTTTCTTCAAAGCAGCATTGTTAGAGGCTAGTAGACTGTTGTGATCTAGAGATGGAGCTCTCGCTTCACAATCAGGAGGTTGTGAGTTCGATCCTAGGTAGAGGCAGATGTAGGGTCTCCTGCTTGGGCAGGAGGTTGGACTAGATGACCTGCAAGGTCCCTTCCAACTCTGTTAATCTGATAAGAGGCAAGTTATCCAATTGCAAAAACTGGCTGTAAATCTGGACCAGATTTGCAATATTTGGAGAGATACAGTCAGACAACCCCAAATCTACAGCCATGTCATGTTCTAGAGATGGGAAGAACTTCTAAAAAAAATCACTTCCTGAGAATCCAGCATTTGAAATGAAATTCTTCTCTTGAGTTATTTCAAACTGTATTAAAGAAAAGGTGCATGGAGTCTTCTAGCCTCATCTTAAATTCAAAAGATCTTTGAAGGTTATAACACTTGTTTTCCTTGATATGGTTACTTTTCTGCATTGCTAAGAAACATGAGTTGTGCAGGTTAACAAGACTTTTTGTGTACAGTTTTGTTCTCCACTCACAAAAATCTGTACCACTCAAGAAAAACCTCATTTGCTGATCTTCTTATAAATGCTTTCCAAATGTTGCTAGATCTTCAGACCACAAAATATCATGGTAAGGTAAAGGTAAAGGTTCCCCTCGCACATATGTGCTAGTCGTTCCTGACTCTAGGGGGCAGTGCTCAGCTCCGTTTCAAAGCCGAAGAGCTAGCGCTGTCCGAAGACATCTCTGTGGTCATATGGCCAGCATGACTAAATGCCAAAGGCACACGGAACGCTGTTACCTTTCCACCAAAGGTGGCTCCTATTTTTCTACTTGCATTTTCACATGCTTTCGAACTGCAAGGTTGGCAGAAGCTGGGACAAGTAACGGGAGCTCACTCCGTTATGCGGCGCTAGGGATTTAAACCACTGAACTGCCGACCTTTCTGATTGACACGTTCAGAGTCTTAGCCACTGAGCCACCACGCCCCATATCATGATAGTTTAATATTAATTGATAAAATTTATATGCCACCCATCTCACCAATAATGTAACTCTTCTCCAATAATTGTCATTGGGTTGGACCCACTTTTTTACATCAGCATAAATAATTCAGGCAATGAGTTATTTCTTTAAAAAAATTGCTGGCCAACTAAAAGGTCTTTCTGTCAGAAGCACCCTTGCCCCATTCAATTGCTCCTCTACTGAGTCTTGAGGATTCCTTTGAGATCCTGTCTCTGCAGCGTTAAACTTTCACTATGCTTTACTTCTGAAATGTTTTCAAATGCTTCCTCTCAGTCTTCTCTTCCATAGGAAGGAACGTATGCATAGAGAAGATTCCAGGATCAGTCATATTTGCTCTGGGTATGACTTTCAAGTATTAACTGGAAGCCATCAAAAGTCAAATTAATTGTACCAGAGTAGTTCACTTGAGCAGATCTGTTACCAGAGTCATGGATGCAAGATCTCTGTCCTGTTCTGATAATTAAATGGTGTGGAAGATGGGGCATTAGTAGGCCCATCCTTTGCATAATTTCTCAGTTCTGGTCATTCATTCAAGTGGTCTTCAATTCATAGTGGACAAAAATGGTTTGATAGGAAGTCCCATGATCTAGGCCAGGTGTGTCCAATATTTTGGGTTGCCTAGGCTGCTTTGAGTGAAGAGGAATTGTCTTTGGCTGCACACAAAAACATATAGCTAATGTATATAAATGCACATAATGGTAAACGTTTACTATTTTGGGGGTGCCACATTGCTAGCTGTCCAGGGCCACATAAGTAGATATTTCCAACCTTGGGCCACAGGTTGGAAATACCTACTTTTAATTAGCCTACTTTTTATTTGATCTGCTAGTATTTCTTAAAATACATTGCTGTGTTAACTAAATATAACTATGCAAGGGAGATGATTGTGGAGAGATTTCAGAAGACTGAAGAATTAACCAAGGTAGGCAGATTTCCATGAAAAGAGAAATATTTGGAGTATTTGATTTCCGAAAATTTAATGTCCTATGCCTTCTTACAGGAAGCAAGCAGCAAATCTCACCGAGTGAACAAAGTTGTGTTTCTAGGAAACCTGAAAAAGCTGCTCACCACAGGGACATCCAGCTGGAATAATAGGCAGATTGCCTTGTGGGATCAGGTGAGTTTCCTGGTAAACCACCATAAGATCACTTCACTGATGTAGAGAGTAAGGAAGATGATTTTAATGGAGGTATACAAGCTTCATTGCCGCGGTGGCAAGGAGTAAAATGTGTTTTAATTTCAGAATGTCCAGAGAACATTCTGAGGCAGCCCAAAAGTCACGTTCCTAACTCACTAAAGTATAAGGGGAAGAGGTACAACTCAGTTATATTTGCAAGATTCTATTATAACAGCCAATCTCAATAAGAGTAGTTTTATTCTACTTGGGAAACTGATTTCCTGGTCTGGAGGTGGGGCTGACAACCAAAGGCTGTTTCAGTCATTCTTTTAGCTTTTCAGACGTGATGTGGTAGCAAAGTATAAGTATAATCTTTATTGTCATTGTACTTAAATACAACCAAAGTTTTGGAAGGATAAGGAGGATTTGCTTGTGTCAATCTCATCTACACTCTAAATGGGTGTGACGCTGGGACAAACATGCCCAGATGTATTTCTTATGGAGGCTTCTCTCAGCCTGGTTTTATATCAGAGGGAATTTAGGCTTATGAAGAAGCATTCAAACTGTATCCCAGTGTCCAAAGCAGTGGTGCAATTCAGCCGGTTCTACCCAGTTTGGGCGAACCGGTAGTGGTGGCAGTGGGAGGCTCCGCCCACCTGCCCGGATGTTAGCATGTCCTGTTTTTGATACTCTGCACATGTGTGGAAGGTCCGCTCAAATTTGCAAACTGATAGAGAAGGTAAGTTGATTTCCCCCCTGGTCCAAAGTGGTTCAGGCTAGAAAAAGCTTGACCATTCAGTTGGGCTGATTGCCTAATCAATCAATTTTTATTATGATCACAGACCAGCATTACAAATAAAAGCATTAAAAACAATAATAATAAAAAGTAAAAATGAAAAACAGAAAAGAATACCTTATGATTTGTGTAGATTATCAGTGGGCAATTAGAATCATCCTAATTTTGCATGCAGTATAACAAAATTTGTCCATATTCAAAGAAACTACAGATACTCCTCGATTTGCCACCACAATTAAGCCCAAAATTTCTGTTGGGAAGGGAGACATTTGTTAAGTGAATTTTGCCCCAGTTGTTAAGTGAATCACTACAGTTGATAAGTTAGTAACCTGGCTGTTAAGTGTACCTGGCTTCTCTATTGACTTTGCTTGTCAGAAGGTCGCAAAAGGTGATTATGTCACCCTGGGACACTGCAACCGTCATAAGTATGAGTCAGTTGTCAAGCATCTGAATTTTGTTCACATGAGCATGGGGATGCTGCAAACGTAACTCTGAAAAACAGTCACAAGTCACTTTTTTCAGTGCCGTTGTAACTTTGAACGGTCACTAAACAAATTGTTGCAAGTTGAGGATTTCCTGTACTTCATGTGGATCTGATAACGTGGTTTGTATAGTTGTACATAAAAGAGATCAGCATTTCCTGGGTATTTTATTAGGTGAGATGTTTTCAAGTGAGTCCTTATAGAAGTTTCAGTACCTCCTTGTCCACAGGGTTATAATCTCAGCTCATGTGGTATTTTTTGTATCAGTCCCACAAAACTGCTGTGGGAAGCGCATTGCAGTGTGCTAAGGTTAATGCCCTTCAGGTTTGGGGAACACTTATATAATACTGTACTGTAAGTCTTTTCCTGCTTTGAAAGGAGGCGCTGATTGCCTAAACTGGTCCTTAGTTCTTGTGTTTGCTTTACCTTGGTCAGAATTTGGGTTAGACTGGAAAATTGTTGCAGTTCAAATTAAAATAGAGATCTCAAGAGCTCTGTTTTGAAAATGATCTGTATCCCATGCTGGAGAGATCTAGAACAGCATTCTGAATCTTTTAGTTTAATGATCCATGCTTTCTCCTCTTATATCACAGCCTCTGAAGCAGCTGGTTCCATTGCTAGCTCACTTTTATACCCAGAATGCCTGGGACACAATGGGGCCTTAATAGACTAATATTAAACATTTCCACATAATTGTCTGTAGGAGGTGAAAATGTGACATCCTTCTCATAAAGAACACATGCCCTAATAAGTTTCCAAATAAACATGGGTCAGTCCAACAGTATGGTTTGCACTTAATTGATTTCTGTGCTCTGTGTCTGCTTGAATTTGAAATCTCTTACTGCAAATGCATATTGATCAGAACACTGTCGGTAATTGCAGATGAATCCTGGAACATTTCCAAAATAGTGAATTGCTCTGGGATTGTCTTTCAGATGTTCAATTCAATGCTCTTATTCCCCCCCCCCCGCCCCAGATTCAGCAGTCAGCTCTTGGGTAAGAGAATCACAGATTCCCTTACATATTTCCAGCAGAAGCTGGAAATACACAGCACTATTAGTTCACCCCTATAACACCACCAAGATCAGCCAGAAGTTCATAGTCCTTAATTTAGTCCCTTAAAGAGAGATGAAGGAAAGTGAAGATTCTGCTTGACATATATAACATATTCTTCGGAGCATAAGATGCACCAAGATTTTGAAGAGGCAATTAAAAAAAAAGGTTTTGCATTCTGAAGACCTCCCCAAAACTGCCCCTTTTTTTTGTGAAAACGGGCCCAGTTTTTGTCAAAAAAAGGGCATGCATAGCCTTTAGGAGGCTTATAGAGTGCTCCTGCGGGATGGGGGGGCAAAAGCGAGCAAAAAAACGGCCCATTTTTGGCTCATTTCTGCCCTCACCAGACCCCAGGAGCACTCTGGAAGCCTCCTAAAGGCTATGCACGGCCATTTTGGTGAAGGGCGGGGTTTTGGGAAGCCAAAAATGCTGTATTCAGTGTATAAGACGCAGCCAGATTTTCACTCTCTTTTTTGAGGGAAAAAGGTGAGTCTTATACTCCGAAAAATATGGTAATCATAGAGTAAAAGGCCCTTCATTTTTAAAGTGCCAGGAGAAAGAATGCCTCAAGATTTCACCTTTACACACCCCTGTCTTATTTATGTCCTAGTGTTGCAGTTCTCTTTGCACTGCTTGAAATGATATTGGTGCCTCAGTTATATATCTCCCCCCCCCCCCCCAGTTCAGCTAGGCTGAGTTCTCTTTGTGATGGGAAAGTCTGCTTTACATTATTTCTGGCAGAGAGGACTGCTAGGACTTCAGCACAGAAAACCTACAGCACCATTTCTTGCACCTGTATGTAAAAACTGTTTAATTTGTTTGGAGTTCCATCCTGCAGCCTGAAGGGTTGTTGAAAGCATTAATTCAAACATATCATGGCAGTGAGAATAGGGTCCATTGGACATTATTGTGGGGGTGGGGGGTGGGGATGCTCATTATTTGTGTTCTCTGATTTTTCGGGATACAGTGAAAACCTTATAGCAATAATTTCTTTTTCCATGATCTGTATATACAGGATGATCTTTCTGTGCCTTTACATGAGGAAGATGTGGATGGGTCGTCGGGCCTCTTGTTTCCTTTCTATGATACAGACACACATATGTTGTATGTCTTAAGCAAGGTGAGTTCTTAGCTATAGACCAAGTTGAAATAATTCGCTGTGACAATATGTTGTGTAGTTCAAAGCAATACAGTTGGTGCTATGATTAGTAATTTATACAGAGCAGTATTTCTCAACCTTGGCAACTTTAAACTGTGTGGACTTTAACTCCCAGAATTCCCAATGATGTCTTGCCTGCCAGCTCTCTTCCAACAACACTCTTGTTTTCTAAGTCCTTCTGGCTGAAGATAGGAGATGCTACTCAGATGTGCTGTTTGTCCAATATTGCAATTGTTCTGGTTCCCTTCCCCCTCCCTTTTTTACTGGCAGAATTTAGGATGTTGATGTGTTTTGCTGTGTTTTGCTTATACATCAGATCCAAGATATATAAGAAACTTAAAATGGTGCCAGTATCCAAGACTGATTGTACTCATTATAACTCTCAAGGAAAGTTGAGTTTAGTTATATTTGTTACATGATTTTTGCTGATCTAGAATATGGCCTTGGCATATGCCCTGTTTCCCACCTAATGTGGCTAGGTTCCTTAGATGAGTAGGCAGAGAGTCATTGTGATGTAAATGTTTCAACTCTGAAATCCTTTATCTAGTGGGTCCTTTAAGTGTGGCCTCCCTGGTGAATATGTGAGGTAAAGATTTAAGAATAACAGAATAACAGATTTGGAAGGGACCTTGGAGGTCTTCTAGTCCAACCCTCTGCTCAAGCAGGAGACCCTCTACCATTGCAGACAAGTGGCTGTCCAGTCTCTTCTTAAAAGCACCCACAATTTTTGAAGACAAGCCGTTCCACTGGTTAATTGTTCTCACTGTTAAGAGATTTCTCCTAGATTCTTCTTCTAGATTGCTTCTCTCCTTGTTCAGTTTCCATCCATTATTTCTTGTCTTGCCTAACAAGCCTATCCAGATTAGGTATAAATGAAACCTCCCTGGAGGACATATAAGGGAATCTTTTTTTTTAAAAAAGTTGGCGACAGTGGCCGCATGTATTTGTAGATGGTGCTCCGAAGTGTTTGCAGAGAGGGTTTTGGAAAATTTGGAATGTAGAAATTGGTATGTGAAAGTGGAGGAGTGTGTAGAGAGAAAGGAAATTTGAGGAAGATAAGCTTGATAAGCTAATTGAGAGGCTGGAACTTGTTGAAAAAACAGAGAGGTGAAGAAACAGAAAGGCCAAGAGCTTCAAAAGTTGAAAGGTGAGAGGGAGCAGAGGAAGTGGATGATTTATGATTGTGTGGCTTCCCCCTGGATTCTCCCTGTGGATTCCCCTGGCTAAAGCTAAACCCTGGTTAGAGAACCCAGGAGTCAGCAGCTGCAGCTCTGAATGATGCCGTAGGTCATCCGATGGAGGCAGAGCTGACAGTAGAGACAAGCTTCACTGGCCTTTGTCGGCAGCTGGGCCTATTTGTATGGTTAATATTGCTGTGGAGAGTGGCAGGCTGGCATTGGAACTTCCTGAGGTTATCTGGCGAGTGGGAGCTTGGAACTGTGAACTTCATGAGACATTGTAGAGACACAGTTGCTAAATTTCCAGTGCAGCACAACAGGCCTTCTGGCTACTTTTCTGGCTACTTTCTGCAATCTTGTTTCTGCAATCCTCTGAATGGTCTGTAGTCGGGCCTGAGAAGGCTGGGGAATCCTGGGGCTGGAAAGGAAAGTTGAGGGAGATGCAAGTGTGTTGATCCCTTCTCCCCCACCCACACGTGAGAGCTGGAGGGGGGGAAGAGTGGCTCCCTGCTTGGTAGGTGAGAGCAACTGGTCACGGTGCCATTTGCGCATTGAGAGGGTGTATTCTGAGTGTGTTGGGAGATAAGGGGGTGCTGGATGTGATCCCTCTGTGGCAATGAGGAAGGGGTGGTGTGAGTTTGAGGGTGCTGAGAGCAAGTGCTATAGTGCCTGTAAGGCTCACCTTGCTCCCAACAGTTTGTCAGTGGGAGGAGGTTTCCCCCCTTTTAAGGAAGAGTGTTAGGGATGGGGGATAGAATGGTTCTTAGGGAAGGAAGAGGAGGGCGACATATTTCAATGGTGTCGGTAACAGGAGATACGGGACACAGGGGGGATGGCACCTCGGTGTTTAGTACCTGCCTCCCCCCCCCCCCGCTTAAGCTGCTCCCCTGGAAAGAATTAAATATTTCACTTAATAGGGAGAGGAAGTGAGTATACATTGAATTTGTATCTCTTACAATTATCTTTAGGGAGATGGGAACATCAGGTACTATGAGATAAATGTGGAGAAACCATACCTATATTACCTGACTGAATATCGTTCCCCTTTGCCTCAGAAAGGAATTGGTAAGTTTGCAGCAGTTTCATTGCAGTTTGTATGCTGGGGAACTTGAACAGGGTGCCTGTGAACCACTGATGCATTGAGGGAGGGGGCAGCTGGTCGCAGGCAGATAATAAGCATCAGCCTGTTTTCTCTTGCTTCACTTTTGTCATGGCTGCACAGCAATGGCTCATGACATTCATTTTCTGTGCCTTTATCTCTCAGAATATTGATTAAACCAGCCTTCCCCAACCTGGTATTCTCCTGATATGTTGACTTATGGGTTCAGGTTATCCTCACCATTGACACTGGCTGCGTTGGCAGGAGGTGATGGAAAATGTAGACGAGCATATCTGGAGGGACCAGATAGTGGAAGGTTGAATGAATCCTTTGCCAGCAGGGCAAGAGAATTTTGAGAATTGTTTTTTTCACCCGCTTCCAACTCTTCTAAGGAGTTTTCATCTAGTCTATTTGAAAGCACAAGAGCAAGAAAGTCATGGAAGACTGATGGTGCATATCTACCAGTCCATGGATAGAAGGAGAGTGGATGGTCCCAAGCCTACAGCTGTAGAAGTTCTTACAATTACATGGGTGCATCAATCTTCCACATGCTCTGCCTTCTTAGATCATGAAACTGAAAGAGGAATGAATTGAAATGGCTGGAACTATAAGAGACAGAGAGGTTTTCAAATTGTTACCTAACAACTCTAGACAAGATCAGAAAAGGAAGAATCTTTTTAGTTACATTTTTAAAAAAATTAAATTACAAATGGAAGTAATTTGTTCTCTTTTAAAAAAAATTGGCTAGGCCCAGGGTGTGATGCTGGTCAGGGGAAAGATTTCAGCTTTCTCTGTTTCCTTCCTGCATGGCTATCCTATTCTGCAGAGGTGAAGAGCAGCAGTTGGATTTCCCAAACCCATGTTTTGGCGGAATGTCATATGAGCTGATCATAACTTTTTTTCCCTTTTGCTGTCAGGTGTGATGCCCAAGAGGGGCCTCGATGTCTGTGCCTGCGAGATCTTCCGGTTTTATAAACTGATTCCAGTCAAAAGCCTGATTGAACCCATTTCTATGATTGTACCCCGACGGGTGAGTGGATATCTCTTCTTTGGCAATATACCATGAAGGGCCTTCATTTTGAGGATACTGTAGTTCCCCAGATAAGGAAATGGAACTCTACTCTCATGTTTTCCTTTGTAGTCTGAATCGTACCAGGAAGACATCTATCCAATGACAGCTGGGGTACAGCCATCATTGACAGCACGAGACTGGCTGAATGGCACTAATAAAGGTTTGTGATACAATTGCTTAAACTGTCAGAAACAAAAAAAATATGCTCATTTATCTATCTGCATCACTTTACATTAAAGGCAGATGTACGGTAAGGCTGAAGGCCCAGAATTATTCACAATAACAATATTATAATCTGGATCGCTGTGTTTAGAATGCTCAAAATAAATTGACAATGTTCTTCAGCAATTAAAGCAATAACATAGAAGTTGTTTCCCTATATCTCTATTATAAGGTATTACGGCTAATGTTTTATGGTAGCTGTTTGCTGGAGAGCTGTGCATCTGAAGGACCCACACAATTTATTCAGCCATAAGAAATTGTAAATGTCATGAGCCCCAAAACAATAATGAATGAAGTTCAACTGTGAGAAGCATCCAAAGTTTTCACTGCTTCTTTTCCGCTCTTGGGAATTGTATGCCAATTACCAGCTAATCTGTGGTATGGTGGGAAGAGTACAGTACTTTGATCCATGATTTCAAGGAACTAGTCTGAACCTAGGTTGTTTTGAACATAAAATGAGTTCCAAATATCTTGGAAGAAGAGCTAGGCTCAATACTTGTGTCATAGGTATGGAGTACAATTCTTCCTTCAGATCTTTTGGCAATGGCTCACCCCCTCTTCTTGAATTATAGTGGCATCTGCTATCCTGGTATTGTTATATAATGGAAAGGTATCAACTTCAGTCAATTAGATTGTGGGTTAGGCCTATAGCTGTATTTCACTTGGCCTTGCTCTATACCAAAACCAAAATAATGCAATATTCCTAAATTTGAATTAATTGATGTCGATTGAGGGAATCAACTTGCTTTGAATCAAAATTGTAATGCTTTTGTGCTGCGTACATTGTCCTAGCACACAAACTAAGCTAAATGCCCTTCTTGTAATGAATGAAATTTTCTTTTTTTTCCTTGCATTTAGTGGCTTTAGGTTCTCAGGGTCACTCAGTACTAGTTGTTATTGTTCCTTTTTGCTTGGGACAAAATTATTCTTTTCTGTGGCCTACAGGTCCTGTCTTGATGTCTTTGAGGCCAGGTTCTGTGATCTTGAATTCTTTACCACCATTTCTTGAAAAGGAGATTGCCATGGAAGCAACTAAGCCTGCCCCGCGCCGGGACAGAGTGACTGATATCACCGAAAAGTTGAATGAGATCCAAGAGAAATGGGGGACCAGGAAAATAGAGGAAAGACAAGAGCAAAACAGACGAATGAAGTTATCTAATGGTGTTGATACCTATGAATGTCCTCCACCTAAAACAGAAAATGAGGTATAGTGTTGTGACCGAGAAAAAAATTATGTTAGTGAGCAAGTGGGATAAAATAGAAAAAAATAGCTACTTTCTCAGGAAGTACAAGCAAGATAGGAAACAAGGACATCCTTCACTGGATTTAATATTGACATAGAATTATTTCTTAGAAGCATCTCTCTTTGTGCTCCATTCACTTATTCTGTTATTGCTGTGACCTCTCACTTGAATAGAGGTCTGGAGAAAACATATTTCTACTCTGTTCTTCCTCTCACTTAAATTCAAATATCTGATATTAGATGAGGAATGAATGGGAAGTATAAAGGATATTCTGCTGCAAGAGTAGCTGATGGGTAAACTAGATCTTAAATCTACAGTTTTTCATATTGGAATATTAGTGGAGTAATTGATATATTTATTATACCGTATTTTTTGGAATATAAAGTGCCCCTAAAAAATAGGGTAAAAATCTGGGTGCTTCTTATACACTGAATACAGCATTTTTGGCCTCCAAAAACCCCAGCGCGTGCATCTTGTTTTTCACAAAAATGGACACCCAGAGGGTTTGAGAGGCCTGTGAAGTTCTCCTGGGGACTGGAGAGGGCAAAAACAAGTGAAAAATGGACCCACTTTTCATAAAATGGGGGTGTTTTCATCCTCCCAAGCCCCCAGGAGTACTCTACAGGCCTCTCAAACCCTCTGCCCATCCCATTTTTGCAAAAAACAGACCTATTTTTCACCTCCCAAACCCATGTGTCACATTTTTGCCCTCCCTAGCCCCCAGGAGCACTTTGCAGGCCTCCCAAATGTTCTATATGCCCTGTTTTTCACAAATTTCGCAATTTACCTCTTCAAAATCTTGGTGCTTCTTACACTCCGATATGTCTTATAGTCTGAGAAATACAGCAATTTCCAATATTATTTAGCATGAACTGCATATGTTTATGCAGTTTAAGCACTCTCTTGTATAAGCATCTCATTTTTATATTGGGATAGTTTATATGTGTGTCTAAATCAGATCATACCTTTATTGTCAATGCACAACATGTGTACAATGATAGTGAAACTAAATTTAGTTTTAATCTAAATTTCCATCAGTGTCATTTTCTCTTTCTTGACTCTGTAGTTTCATGTAGACATCAGATGATTTTAATGTATGATTGCACAAATGACATATGAAATCTTTACTTTCCAGCTGCTACAGATGTTTTATCGACAGCAAGAAGAAATTCGGCGGCTCCGTGAAGTGCTGATCCAGCGGGATATTCAGATCAAACAGTTACAGCTGGAAATCAAAAACCTGCATGTGGATTCTCGCCGATTCTGACAGGCTATCATTTGGAGTCTCAGAACAAATGTTGCCAGAAATCACTATATTTTGGAGATTATAGATTAGAAGGAGAATTTCAGATTTATTGGCAAGTTATTGCCTACCTTGAGTGCCCATATCCTGCAAGCTGGAATTTACTGGAAGTTACTGGGAGGTTTTGTGGTGCTCTATTTATCGGACTCATTCTTTGCAAGAAAGTCCATGTTTCAAAGTAGTCCCATAATAACTCAGTTGGAGATGTTTCAAAGTGGAAGGCAGACCTGCCTGAGTACGAACCTCCTTTCAGGTCCCCAGTAGACAACTGAACTTTGAAATACGGTTGCTTGGATTTTCAGGCTTTTTAGCATTCAACTCTTTCACATGGTGATGAACCAAATAGAAGTTGTTCTGGACTCTTTTTGTTCTGCATTCTTGGATGGATCAGAATGATTTTGCACTGAATTAGTTTTGTTTCTTATAACCAAGGAGAGTTTATGTGGGAATCGAAACCATCACCTTCTCTTAGTTTCTCATCTTCTTCTAAAATTGTATTTATGCCTAAGAGGTAAGGACCAAAGAAATAGGTGACATTAATTTAAAAAGGAAGTCAGAAATAGATGCTTCTGAGAGTCAAGCTTTGGAAATGAATGCTCTTTATTTGAGATGGAGAAAATAAGACCACTGCTGCTGAAGTGGTCTTATCAGAGCTAGAGTGGAAGCCTTCTGTAACCCTGTAGTCAATGTGTCTTCCATCTCTACCCATAATCTCTGAGGATCACTTCATGCCTTAAATCAACTAGGAGTTTAATTACTAATGCTCTTAAGATGGCTTTCTTCCAATTGTCTGAAGCTGAATTTTCTACTCACAGATTCTTTCCTCCTTTATTACTCTGAATGTTGTATCAGATCTTATAGGCATATTAGTTCAATGTACAGAAGTGTGAAGAAACTTTTACTTAATTCTGATAATCCTCTAACATCCTGTTTATCACAAACAAAATTCCCACAACTGTCAAATTGCAATACTTTTTTTCACTTTTCACTTTGTTTTGATGCCTATGACTAATATTTCAACTGATGTTTCATATTTGTTTCCTTGCTGATTTCTATAATAGACTATGCAAAGCACTGCCACCAACAATTGTTTGAGAGCAGGATCAACTACTCCAAAGATTATGAGGTCCAAGATGGAAAGGGGGGGGGGGTAGATGCCTTTTGTAACATAAGTTTCTCCTTAATCATGAATGCTGAAAATGTTCATGTACAAAATGGTTGGAAAATTTGAAAGGAAAAAAAAAACATACCTAAAGTTTCACCAGTCATAATAAAATTGTAAAATACAACTACTTTTATAGTTTGGGTTAAGATATTTGTGCAGGATTTCAGAAAATTCCCCAAAATAGAAATTGATAAGTGAGAATAACAGAAGACTGAGCTGTAATCAAACTGAAGAATCTTGTATAAACATTTAATACAGAAATACCCATTCACATCTCCTCTGTACTGCTTCTGTGTTTTATGACTTAACATTTTTTTTCTCTTACAGTTCTCTTTTACCCTCTTTTTCTTTCAAGACCGAAGTTAAAACATTTCTTTTAATCCATCATTAAATTGTAACATTTCCTAGTTCAGGGGTCCCCAACTGAAACTGGGCCACACAAACGAAGCCCCATCCCCGTCCGTGGGATGCAGACAGCACATGAAACCATACTCCCTCTGGCCCACAGAAAACTCTCTCCACACAACTGCTCCCTGGTGCCCAAAAGGTTGAGGGCTGCTGACCTAGTGGATTGATAAAATTGCCCAAGCATGTCCCAAAGGTGCTTTTTCAAGAGGCAAGTAGACTTTCTGATTTTTCTTTGAACACGTTTTGCTTCTCACCCAAGAAGCTTCTTCAGCTCTGAAAACATGCCCAAGCATGTCTTTTTCTTTTCCATATTTCTTTTCTGTATTATTCCCCTTCACTTCCCCACTGTTTTTTGAGCAGGAACCCATCTCATAGCCAATATGTACATACAAGAAGCCCTCAACTTACAACTTCATTTGGTGGCCATTGAAAGTTATAAACACCACTGAAAACATTGACTTATGACCATTTTTCACAAGACCGTTGCAGCATCCCCATGGTCATGTGATCAAAATTTGGGTGCTTGGCAACTGGTATGCATTTAGGATGCTTGCAATGTCCCAGTGTCATGTGGTCACCTTTTGCGACCTTCTGACAAGCAAAGTCAATGGGGAAGCAATTTAACAACCTTGTTACTAACTTAACAGCTGCACTGATTCACTTAACGACTGTGACAAGATCATAAGAAATTTTGGGCTGTATTGTGGTTATAAGCAAAAGAATACCTGCATAGCAGAAGCTGCATTTCTTTTCTGGATTGTACTATTCAGTTCTCACGTGACTGGATGGGGTGACTCTCAATTCAATTCAACTCTGCAAAAATGACTTTCCTATATACAAACACCTATGTTCTGGCTCAGCTTTTTCTTTGTCCAACTTAACAAACTGTCATTTAATGGATTTTGGATGCAACAGACCAACTTTGTGTTTTGGATGCAACAGACCAAATTTATGTCAGTTTGGATTTAATAAACATCCTAGTCATGATTTTGGTTTAAAGTTAAGATGTACTAGGAAGAAAATTTAGAGCTGTAGATCCCTGAGATTTCAGATGCAATAACCCATTATTACAGTTGGCGTTGCTTAAATATGCTTTTAAAGAAGTATTCACAATGGTACAAAAGACATAATGGGACTTCTATATTTACACCAAGCTTTATGCATATAAAATGAATTGGTCTTTGTAATAATTCCAGTATATCATATTAAGTGCTCATGGGATTTTAATTAGTACCCTTTAAAACAACTGGTATGTTACAGTTATGATCAAGACATTAAAACATTTCCAATTATTTAGGAGATTAGCCAGATGAATTATAACTTGTCTTGAAGTTAAAACATGGAGCATAATTGCAGAGTCAGAGAGATGATCTTGGGGAAAAGAGGCAAGAGTGATAAAACATGGAGAAGTAAAACACAATCAGAATTGCAAGATTCTACTTCTATAGGCTAATCACAAAGAGTATAGCTGCAACCTTCCTGTTAGGTCAGTTTCCTGATTTGTGCTACCTTGTAAGGCTGACAGTAATAGAATTACTATTTTCTGTAACTAATCTCGAATATATGGTAAGATATACCCCCACTTTGTATTTTTGGGAAACAGCTGAATGTAGATTAAACAACTAATTGGTACAAGTCCATCTTGTTTATTAATACATTATGAGCTTATAGATGTTTGGGAAACTACAACACAACATTTTGTGGCAAACGTAGAAGTGCTGCCAGTTAAGGAAACAAAAGAGTGAAATATATTCTTGGATTAAGGAGGATGATCGCTTGCAATTTGGAAATTTGTCTCTCTTATCTTGTTTACAGGCAAATAAATTATTTAAAGTATTTGTCAGCTTAAGATAAAGGGAGAGGGTTTAAAATGCATTTCTAAAGTGTGCTTTTTGATTTTTTTTTGCATATTTTATGTATTGCTTTGATCAATGTTAGCCATTTATTACAGGGGTTGAAAAATCCCAAATCTACTTGAAAAATGTATATATACTGCTTTTTGTTCTGTTTACCAAACTTGTATAAAACAAATTAGCACTTGAAAGTTATTTTTAAAAATTACTCTTGTTTTTAAAAACACTTTTGAAATAGTACATGCAGACCAAAATTTCAGTCATGTATGCTTTCTGAGGCAGAGGGAAAGAAAAGAAAAATCTATATACAGTGATGACAAACTGATTATGCTTTATTAAATAGCGCCTAACTATATTTAAAGATATATGGATGGTGGTATTTTTTTTTCTATTACAGTGATTTAAAAGCAAGGAAACTGAAATGCCATTGGGGACATATCCCCATATGAAAGAATGTACTTAATAAATACAAGGAATGGTCTTGGAAAAGCTAAGCATTTTTAATACTTATACCAACCATGTAACTACGGTAAATCCAGTTACTAGTCTACAAGAGCATTTTACTATTGTTTAATCACACATGCCATAAGTGATAACTCAACAGTTTTAATCCATGTATGTCTCTCTCTTTCCCTTAAAGCTGAAATTCAATCAAATGGCTTTTTAGTAAGGCTGGAATTAGAACTTTCTCTTACAACAAAACTGCTGATTGGCAGGATTGCAAAAACTATTTAAAGAAACTTTAGAAATACATCTGATACTTCATTTAAACAGATTCCAAAATTTACCTTTTGATCAGAGAAACATTACCAACCAAGTCCTTCTACTGGATGTATTATTTCTCTCAAATATTGAAACATGGACATTTAAGCCAAAATCCTTTACACATGGCAGCTAATTCCTCTGGGCACAATAACAGCTACTATTATCCTATAAGCATAGGATTATAATGTTAGTATGGCTTTGTAAAAAAAGCTTTTATGACCACTGCAAGCATAGTAATGGAGCTGGTCCTTATTGGGATATGCTGAAAGAAGGTGATCATTAATGGAAAAGGTATTCTGCTATTTGAAATACTTATGCAAATTAGCTAAAAATACATCATTGGCTACAAACAATAATATCTGAATAAGTAACACATCTAGATAAAAACCTCTGTGAACAGCTAAAATCTTCCAAGCCTGGTACTGGTCACTCACAACCCGGAAGCACGTTAACTTCAAAAGTCAAAATTTTCTAAATTTACTTATGTTGTGAATTGTACTAGTAATAAAGCAATCTGTGAAGCTGGGGAGAAAGATGAAGCAGGGCTTCTTGGATTATTTACTTGCATAGCAAAATAAATTACCTAACTTAAACAACCTTCATAGATCAAAGAATCTAGATTCTGTTTTATTTCACAAATGCAGAATATTCACAACCCTGTCTACTAAAGTTTAAGCAAAAAAAAGGCACATTTTCACATCTCTCTGAATATAATAACTGCAAGATTATAGTTTATCAAATAACGTTTATTTAATTCAAGTTCTTAAAAATACTTTTTTCTGTTGTTGCATAAAACATCCTAATGTAAAAAATATCCAACGGCTTAGAAAAGGAAAAAGAAGGCAGGGAAAGCAAAGCATGAAGAGCAGTCCCCAAAACTTCAGGACTCTATTTACAAAGCCTTGTTGCACAGAGATTAAAAAGGGAAGTATAGTCAGTGGGTGGTGTGGAGTCCCTATAGCCACGACTGACCCATCACTCTTGTTCTTGCTAGGGCAATGGGAAGAGATGAAGGCCTGGGAACTCTCAGGTGCTAGCCCAAGAAGGCTAGGTCTGTAACCACCTGGAGAAATCAGCTGCAGGGTACAATGGAATGTCACAGGAATAGCCGACTCTTTGGCTTTTTTGAGTGCTGCGCTTGGAGGGGGAGAACTACAGGTGCGTCACACGTGCTCCTCAAGACACAGATCATCCAAGGGGTACCCCAAGAAATACTGAACAGTCCTTTGGAGACACAGAAGACTAATCATCATCATCTTCTTCTCCTTCATCATCTGTTTCTCTTTTTCGCTTTTCACCTTTCTTATTCTCTTCTTCATCTGCAGAAAAAGAGAGATATTATTCAATACAATACAATACAATAGCAGAGTTGGAAGGGACCTTGGAGGTCTTCTAGTCCAACCTCCTGCCTAGGCAGGAAACCCTATACTGTTTCAGACAAATTCCATAAGGACTATTCCAAGAAAATACAGTACATTCAGTTGAAATATCCAACAAGCCTATTACAGTCTTCCTACCTCCCCATCCTAGAATGACTGAGATAAATGGCCTGCCGGGGAGAGGGGCGGCTACGGGAGGGGAAATGGGGCCCGTGAGGATGGGAGTGGGCCGGAACGTTACGGTCATAACGGGGAGAGGCACGTACGACAGGAACTTCAGGGCTAGCCATTACCGGGGAAGGAGGGTCCGCTACGTCACAGCGATCCCTCCTTCCGGCCCTGCTAGTTCCACTCCAGGGACAGATGGCGAGAGTGGTCAGGGCCCTGGTCTCAGTCA